GGTATGATCCTCACTGCTGCTCCTGAGATCGATCCCTTCTCCTCAGCCCTAACCTTTCGTAGAGAGAAATTCCCTTCTCACTGACCTGTTCCACCCGGATATCAAATTCTCCGTTCACCTTCTTCCCCTGGAAATATTTGGCCCTGCAGAAGAAGCAAGAGAGACAAACATGGTTAAATAAGATTTTTGTCAGTTCTGGTTCTGCATTTCCCTTTTTGCTCCAGAATTTTTATATTTTTCTAATTCCTATATTCCTTTAGCTTTCTGTTCTCCAGAAGAAACCTGCCAAGCCGGATGAAAACCACATTGGAAAGTTCCTTCAAGGCTTGTGACTTTTTCATTTAATTTTCAAACCAAAACCCGAATATTCTCCTAATCCTTTCCAGGGAACAACTCTAATGGATGATTCTTTGCTATATCTCATTTAACACTCAATCTTTATTCTGTGAGGGGAGAGCAGCACATGGCACAGCATCAGGAAATTCTGATTTTGGCCAAGGAGCCTTGTCAAGTCCTTGTGAAGGTTGTTCTCATGCTCTGTCACTACAGAACTGCTTTTCACTTCTGTTTCTTTTTAAATTCATATTTGTGTATAATGCCCTTTTATTGATYAGGCAGTGAGGAAACTGCCAATAGAAATTTCCCTGTGAATATTTCCCCCCAGTTCTTCCTCTGACCAAACAAACCTGACAGAACAAAACACAAATTTGTTTTGTCAGYCATCCTCCCCTATAAACTCTCAGAATGCCACGGAGGCTCCAAAGGGCTCTTCTGTTTGGAAATAATGGAAAAGGGTTTACCCGTGCAAGAGCTGTTTCCAGAGAAAAAGTCACTCTGGGTTCCAACTGGCAAAGGCAGGACAGAGTAAAGAAGTAAAGGAAAATGAGTGGAAGCCAGCATTTCTCCCTATTTTATAGTATAAGGGGAAAAAAATAAAAAAGAAAGCTGGCTCATAATTTTATAGTATATGTCTATTTGTTCCAATAAAAGAAGGAAAGAGAGTAGGAAGGCAATTCTCCCCATGGCTAAAGCACACACCAGTTTTTAGCTGAATGCTCCCTTCCCCCAATAATGTGAAGTGTAAATAAAAAAAATAAGTAATTTTGTCTTTCTGGCTCAAAATGAAGTCACAATTTTTCATTATAACAGAAAAAAAAATAAAAACTTTAAAAAAATTAAAAATTAAAAATTAAAAATTAAAAATGGCACATGGACAGAAGAAATGAGGACAGCATGTGAGATGTTGAGCTGGACAGAGCACAGAGCTGTAATGGGATGGGGAGGGAGCAGATGGGGGTGCAGTTCTGTGATCTCAGGGAATTGGAATGTAAATATGTTTTGGCTGAGGAAAAGTGCGGGAACGCTCAGGAGCAATTCCTGGGTGGGATTTACAGCACCAGGAAATCCATTCCAATGTGGCCCCGTGGCCTGGGAGGGAGGAAGGAGCAGAATAAACTAAAAAGGAAGCAGCAGAATAAACTAAAAAGGAAGCAGCAGAATAAACTAAAAAGGAAGCAGCAGAATAAACTAAAAAGGTCTGCCCTGGCTGGAAGGGAGGAAAATTGCCTCGAGCCCCTCTGGTTCTGGGAAAGGAGATATTTTCTTGTGCAAAGGCATCAGACAAACTCCTGTTGTGTTGACATGGTTCCAGGGGCACGAGAAACCCACAGCCTCTTGCTATGAAATAATCTGGAAAGAATAGAAGTTTAATTTGCAGAGATATTCTGTAAACCAGCCCAGTCTGCCTCAATGACAACAATAATTGGGGGAAGCAATGAACAATTCTCTGTAAATGTGGAGTGTGCCTTTAACAGRAGCAGGGAATAATAAAGGATAAATTCACATCCCATCGTCTGCCTGAGCTGAATTCACAGATTTTCAGATGTTCCTACAAGACCTCAGTGGAACTGACACAGCAAATGTTGTAGGGTTCTTTTGGAAATTGGGAAGCCCTTTYTCAGATGGAGCAATCAGCACGATCCCAAATCCCCCAGTGACGTGATTGCTGGAACATTTCCGAGTCATTAAATCCAAATAATATGGCCTGGAGCTGTTTGCAAGGGGTATCATTTTTGTGCAGGATTTTGCTATTTTTTTTTCAGCCTGCTTCAGTTCTCCTGGAATTTGAGGAGCAGAAGTGCTGGCCTAACTTGGACCAGCACTGGGGATGTTCAAGCAGAAGAAA